CCAGTCGTGGGGCCTGAACTCTGGGCCTGGGCGCTGTCCCTCAGCTCTTCAGCTCAAGGCTAGCGCTCTACCCCTTGAGCCACAGCGCCACTTCCGGCTTTTTTCTTTTTGCTTATGTGGTGCTGGGGAATCGAACCCAGAGCCTCATGCATGCAAGGCAAGCGCTCTACCACTGAGCCACCTTCCCAGCCCTGATTTACTCAATTCTTTGCAAAGCCATAATTCAAACCATTTATATTTTCTTGAACTGTTCACTCATGAGCTGTAATATAAAGCGCACAGTATTTCATTTGCTTATTGTTTTACCTAAACAGTATTATCTAGTAATTCTATACTATTTTGTCCATCACTATAGCTGAACCAAGGAAAACAGGTCACCCTTAAAATTATTAATCATGAACAGGAGAACAGAGAAATTGCTAACCAGTATTGGAAGATATTAGTAATATACTTTAAGCTGGATATGGTAGAGCAAACATGATTCCAGCTACTCAAAAGGCAGAAATTAAGAGGACAGTAATTTGAAGCCAGCCCCGTGGGAAATTGTTAGTAAGAGTTTATCTCAATTAACAAATTGGGTGTAATGTTTTAAGCCTGTATACCAGCTATGTGGGAGGCACAGGTAAGAAAATCATGGTCCAAGGCTGGACCTGGCAAAAATGCAAGACCCTATCCAACAATTAACTAAAAACAAAAAGGATGGTGGGCATGGCTCAAATGGTAGACTAATTGTCTAGAGGATGCAAGGTCCTGAATATAAACCTGAGAATTACCACCCATGTATCTACCCACGCACATACACACACAGTAATATATTGACCAGGTACTGTTGGTTATACCTCTAATCTAAACTACTTGGTAGGCAGAGATTAGGAAGTTGGTGGTTTGAGGTCAGCCTAAATATTAAAGTTAGCAAGACCCAATCACAACTAAAAGCTGGGCATGGTAGCATGCACCTATCATCCCAGTTAGATGGAAAATATAACAGAAGGATCACAAGTCTAGCAACCAAGCATAAATGTGAGATCCTATCCCCAAAATAACTAAGGCAAAAAAAAAAAAAAAGGCTAGAACTGTGTTTCAAGTGGTAGTGTATCTGCCTAGCAAGTACTATTAAACCCAGTACAATTAAAGAAAAAAATAAGAAAAAAAAGGAATATACTGTATAAGGTCAAATTGTTGGGCTAGGAA